TTATTAGAATTAAAGGCATACATAGGCATAATAAGAGACGATATCGAAAGGAAAAATGGGTGATATGATAGTAGAAAAATGACTCAACCATGTGAATAAGTTTAGAAATAGGACAAAAATGACAGGAAAACACAATTGAACGGACTCACTTATGACAGGAGAATTCTACGTTATTGAATAATAAAAAATAGCCCAATGAGTTTCAAATATCATTATTGCATGACATGTTCAAAAAATTATTATTTGTTCGATGAGTGATATGGTTGCGTAAATCTCATAATTTAATGTCAGCACGAATAAAAATAATAATTCCACGTTAGGTGATGATGTGACATTAATGTAGTAATGAGAATATGATAATTATTTGAATGATAATGGAATGATCCTCCGAATAGATCAGTGCACAGAGTTGACACAATTACAAAGTATTGACAAGATAATACGATTTGAGCATGTACATGTCGCCGCTCTACCGGCTTCGATGAATGAGTCGGATTAGAGATTGAGTCGTTTGAGTTGCCCGTCGATCAGGTGGGCCACGTAGTTCGTTTATCGGACGCGTAGATTTCGGGATGTTCACCGTCTGCGCAGATTTGCAGGACGTGTTCAGTTAGAAATCGAACTGACCTTTTTAGTAGTGGTTCGGAAGGTTCTTCATCGACGTAGTTTGCTGCGTTAGGTTCGAAGTCGGTGGACTCACCACATTTTCGGCCCTATATCTGACTCCAGTTTGATCGTGTGGTTATCGTTATCCACTTATACATGTAACCAATACTCGCATATAATTATCGACCTAAATCACCTTAGTGAATAACACAATTAAATAAGTTAAATACGAGAATGTATTTCAAATACGTGTGGTGGAGAAAGTGAGTGAGCCGACTAACTCTATTTAGCCAAGCGTGAATACAAATATATTGACGAACAGGAATCAGTTACACACACATAATGGGTGCAGTCAGGGTAAAAATGTGGGCTGAGTAGAATGAACAGATTGATCTGTTTGGAAGCTGGAATAACCTATGTAAACTTGATCTACCACCAGGCCTTACAGTTATTCTTATTTCTCATATTCTGGTTGACGTAATGTGTGTGACGTTATTGTGACGGCAGTAAATTTCAAGCCCATTGATAACCTATTCGACAGAATCGTTTACTGGTTTTACGGAAAAAACGCAGCTAATATTGTGCTTAAAGTTGAATCCATAGCTAGTCCACCATTCCGTCTATAATACATGTGACTGAGATCAAAATAAACGTTCAGTGTGTAATCCTTTGAGACTAGCCTCGGAAATTTCAGTACTGATTTGTTGCTCTGACAGTTGCTGAAACAAATTCAACTGTGTTAATTGGTGGTACACTGGACAAAGAAGAAATACCTAGGTTTATCATATGCACCTCCTTTAAATTCATAAATAATGGCTTCTCTGCTTTCCCATTGATGTCCTTAACGTAATCAGGTATTAAACTTTTGTTGGATCGTTCAACAGTGAGTTCACCTCATCAGTGCTGTGTATTTTAGTCTTTACAACTAATCCTCCAATTTAGTTTGATTTATATTTGATCAGCTGATTACCTTTTATGGTCCCTTGTAAGTATTTCAAACTCTATTGGTCACTAAACATTTCGTGGGAAACATTCATCAGAGAGATACCTAAAAATCAGACATACTAGATCCGTGAGTAAAACGCACGATTCGATTATATTTCGCACTGTTGTTATCAGTTGAATAAAGCGAGCACTTTAGAAACCTTTAGCAGCTCACGTGCAATTGAGTTTGTTGACATTTAATTTGGTCAAGCCCTTTTCTTAATTTATTTAGCGGATAGAGTCGCTCGTACACTAACAACTTATCTATACCATTGTACCTTTATTATTGTTGCACTTGTATGAGTATGTATGCTTGAGCATTGCTTACTGCCTACGCATATATTCATTCTACTAGCTTTACTGTTAGTCTTGTAATTGATTTGTGATTCATTCATTTCCCTATGTCTGTGTATGTACATTTTAATCATGTTCATTGACTCGCCGACTCGCTCGCTTGCTCACTCGCTCAACCGTTTGCACGCTTGCTTTTCGGTACTACTCTTTCATGCTTGCTTAGCGTATCAGTAATATTTGTTATCTGTGCGTGGTGCAATAATAAACGTTATCAACACTTCGTATTCTCTTTCCGATTAATGCACCGTTGAGGCGTTATCTAGTGACGGTTATCAGGACGAAGTTTAAGGATTATTTGAATAACGACAACCACAAACCCATCTCCGATCATTGATCAGTCCAAATATTTAAACGAATAATGATATCAGTCAAATCTGAATTACGGAACATCTTGTGAAATCCTGTCGCGCTACCTCCAAAATGCATTTTGAAAAATATTGAGTGGAACACTTTAGAAATAAGTAGACTATGGGAGAAAACAATAATACTGTAAGTTCGAACAGCCATGATTCGAACTCGGATTTTCACATACATGCTGACAATCAAACGGAATTAGGTGATTCTAACAGTTGAGGTTTATCACACAAAATACTAATCTTCATTTAAGTATGCTGATCAAGCTCATTTAGTATAGATTGAAATGGTGACAATGTAGGCAGATACGAACAAATATTTCAGCTAAAATGTTTTCATGTAACCACAAAGTCACAAATGTTATTAGTATGTACCACGACTATGCGGAGTGAATATCAACAAACGAAAATCATACACTTGTTCGCCTTTTATGATTTACGTTAATTTCAATGTGGTTTAAATTCCTAATCTAATAGGAATGTGAAAACAATCAAGTATGTTGCACATTTTATAATATTATGAGAAAATTTAAGTGAACCAGTTTGGGAGATGGATCTATCTAGATGATCCTATTATCATTGTGCTATTCACTGCATGAAGTCACGATCAAACAACTTGAATTTATCACGAACATATTTTTACACCAATGTGGTGTTAATCAACAGTTGATATACAGGCATAAAAATGTCGTAGATGAGTTATTCCTTATGAGGTGGGATTATTGGCGCAATCCGTCAAATCAACTGATATTAAAAGACTGACATGGTGGATACCAAAACAGCTTATTGCTTTTAGTGCACTCAGACACCTATGCACACAAAGATAAATGTGATGAAATCTAATTCAAACGATGACTGATTGTAGTATACTGGTTCAGCAAGTCCCTCGTTCAATAGGGGAGTACAAATATATAGTCATCATGAAGAATACATTGAATATCATCTACCCCCAGAATCGACCTACGATCCACCTGTAAACATACTGTTAAAATTTAAAAAAATTCACCACGAATTTCCAAAGTTGGGTCTCATTGAACCAGTAGAGAAACTTTATTTATCCTTTATACACAAGGATCAAACGAATATGCACTAATAGTACAATTGACACCGAACTTCAAGATGTACGATAGATACTTATCGATAGTCGTTATCAACTTATAATCATTGACTTGAATCTGAAGCCAAAACAACAACATGAAATATTGTCAGTGGAATCAGAGAATATCGTCCTCATGAAAACTCAGTTTAAGGGGATGCTAGAGCAGAGATTCTGAAGAACAGACTTTCCAGATCACTGAGACAAACATTCTATTCGGTTGAAGTTTGTACTGTCTTCTCTAGTTGACCTACAGTTCATAGTTATATGTAAGAGAAAGTTTGCCTTTCGGCCAAAGCAATTTGTATATATTAGTTTGGTTGCTCTTTTGGTGTAAATTATGTATGTCGAACAAAATGAGCTCTCTGGAAACCCATCTCGCAATGTTCCTCCATCTGACTACTAAAAGTCTACTCAACCACGGAACATCTCGTTAATGCTGGTTTCACCACTTCACTAGTATTTTCCTATTAATCGGAACTTGTTCACAGTAGAGGTTCAAGCTATCCAAAAATTCAATTCTAATATTCATTTTAAAAACTGCATATCTAATCTTACTATATACCTTTATTTATTTTTCCTTAGTAATTTCCTGTGCTCTGTAGTACATTGTTTTTCTTTGTTTTCTGATTTTGCACATTTGACAATTAGCTGGTTGTACGATATTTACTTATTCTGTTCTCCACTTTATTTAGGTAGACAATAACTACTCATCTGTTGACTATTGTCATCCTCATATTTTTCTTCTACTTGTTGTATTGTTGTAAAATTTTCTTTCAATCTATGGAATTTCATAAATATTTTATGACTTAGTGTTACTTCAATTCTAATTATCTTTTGTTGACTGTGCACTACCTGTTAATTTAATTAGGCTAATAATTTCGATATTTTAATTTTTTCATTATTGTTGATGACAATACAATCAATGTGGGGTTGCATAAATTATTCTTATTTGCTGAAATCATGGAGTCACCTAGGTTAGACTACCACTATTGTTTCGTCCATCTATGAGATCCCTGAGCAGTGGACGGACATTCATGCCTTCATATAGCAAAATAGAATACACAAGTTTCGGTCCTTTTCAAAGAACATCATTTAAATAGAAGTAATGCGCAAACTATAATGTCAATCATCATTTACCACTAAGTACACCGAATTCACTGTCCTGATAACTTTGAACAACAACTTCTGTTCACCTGTTCTTCAGTTCTGACTAACTGACTATGACCAGAATATTTTCAAGATCTGTTATGCGTTATCTTTAAGAAACAAAGTAAAATGTGCATTTGAAATAATCTAATGTCTGAATACTAGTCTCTCAACTAGGCTAGAACTTCAACAAGACACAATCAAGAATTTGAATTTGATGTAGGCAGAAAAAATTGTTCTGTATTATTTTGTCTGAATAAGCCATAACACAAAACATTTAACTGTACAATTACTGTTTTGTTTTCCAGCACACCCGTAGCACTTTGTCTCTCTCCATATATGTCTATAATGTAGTATTGGTTTATTTGTAGGTCTGCCAGATCCCAATTGTTCAGCATCCTGATTCTCACAAAAAATACACAAATTTCGAATTCAGTTGAAACTGTAGTTTAAAACTTTCAATTATTACTTCCAATATGTAACAAACGTTTAAATGCTTTTGCATATTCTTTATTACAAAATGCGTATATAATTGGATTACACATACTATTCAAATATGCTATCCAACCAGTAGCCATGTAAATTGTTTCTGACAATAGACATTCGCATGCTCCTTCCACTAAGTATAAAATGGTAAATGGAAGCCAGCATAAAATGAAACAACATACCACTAATGCTACTGTTTTGACAGTTTTTTGTTCTCTATTGAATATAAGACATTCTTGACGTTTACATTCCAGATTAGTATGTGTGTTAGGATACTTCGGCATTGAATTCTTGCTTCGTGTTGACTGACTATGGAATGTGTGTTTGTGTTTACAGTGATGATCTTTCTGTCGATCATTCACAGAAGTGTCAGTTGTTTTGTGAACAGCTTTACGTGAATGCTTGATGATTATATCGTCTTCCGTATGAGTAGTTGGTAAAGTACATGTACCAGGGATTGTTTTACCGGACTTGTTTGTTTAACTGTACCAAAATACATACATAAGGATGGCTACGCAATCAACTTCATCAAAAAATACCTCGTTTATTGAGAAACCGAACTAAGGCATGAAGAAAATACCAACACGTACAACTGTACATGACGAGTGAATGTAACTCACTTGGATGTGACGAATATGAGTGTATCATAGAGAGATTAGCTATAAAGTCCATGTTTTGATTCACAGTGAGAATAGAATATTAACTGCAGTAGTCAAGTAATCTTTGTGGGTGATGAGTGATGCAGCATGCATTTAAACATGTAAACGTATTGGTAAGATGAACATATCTGTTATTAATCGTTTGGTAATCTGGCTCATCTATAAACAGTCAAGGTTATAAGCGACATATTGACGACGCTAAAATGTAACTCATGAAGAATAAATTGTTTGGTCTGTCCGAGAGTTAGAATAACCTATTTGGGCTTGACGTAGCACTAGACACTACAAATACTTCAACTACTTATTTGTACGGATTCAGCGAAAAAGTAAAATATGATGAAACTCATTTTCATAAAAGATCCAAGTAATGACAATCATGGACCGTTTTGATTTCATTCAAATTATCAGATTACAGTTTCACTGAAAAATTGAGAAGCTCTTGTTCACGCATAAAACACTTCTAGATAATGACATGGTATCTCATGTCGAAAAAACAATCATTTCCCAACATACATGACTAAAAGTGTATTACACTCGAAGAATTGCCTAAAAAGCTAAAACACTAGTTCGATGCGAAATACGCTGTGTGGTCAATTGAATAATGAATACTCCCTGGATTTGAAAACTCAAGTATGAAAACAGGAAGACACGTTTTGCTGTCACTGATCTGTTGTGCATAACAGGTGTCTTCTGTCGACTGCACATCAAACAAATCAAGGTATTACATTTTACGTACAGAAAGATCAAGGTAGCTATAAAGATCATTCGAAACCTGTTTACTGTTTCTAATCACGTTATTATTCAGGCAATCTCAATTCCAAACACTATTTTGTTTCTTTATTTAAATATTCATTTGATAGTTTCTAATCCTATTTCTTTCTCACCTGAGCCCTGTTCATCTACCTAGTCGGTCGACCTATTGCTCTTTTTAAAATAACAGGTAACGTTATTTTGCCAGTCGGGGGGTTTGCAGAGATTGTAGTGTGTTATGTAGATCACGCATAAGCAGTGACTAGTTAATTTCAACCATCCCAAGTACGCGAATGAACAAGTATTATCGTGAACCGACCGAAGTTAGGTATGTAGACCACTGATTGGCTGCCCAGTAGTCTAAGGGTTAGGTTCTCGCATCGAGACTTAGATGTCCTGGATCCTATCCCCGATGATTTTGTGGATGGGCACTGCTGACGAGTACCATATTAGGACGGAACAGTTGTCCAATCTTTCTTGGTTTGTCTAATTTAGTTTGGTTCGTATTCGCTATAATATTAATTTGATTTGTTATTATTAACATATAATCCGTCAAGACTGAAATTCAGATTATTCTTTCATGTCCATTATTCATAGCCATTTGGTAATACTTCAAGAGAGAAGGAGTACAGATTAAAATTTCCCAAATTTAGTTTGTGACATTATGTCAACTGGAACTATTCTGCGTTACTTAACTACATTTCAACAAAAAATTGATTAGAATAATTATTCATGATTTCAATGTTCAGTAAAATTTGAATATTATCAGTTACTTGTAGTAATATGACAATGGTAAACAGATAGTCGTATTTCCAAAGATCTATAATAAATACTAACGTTCTGTTTAGTTATTAAGTCTATTCAACACTAGTTAAAGTGTGTTACATTTGTGATCAGTTATCATCGGTTTTATCCTAATTATAACTAGGGTATGTAACAGGTTGTGAAATAACTTTATACTGAATGTGAATTCGAACTTTACTCTGATGTTGTTTGAGATTTTGTAGCATGAATTTCATGTAACTACTAAGTTATCGCTTTTACCATGCTGTGGTTCGACGCTTTCATCGTAACAGCGACTTTGAATTTGTGTTAGAAATTGGTCAGTATGAGCTCAAATCACAGAGGAGAAATATCGGTCTAAAATCGACTTTGTAATCAAATAGCCACTAGCAAGTGAGTACCGTTTTACCAGTCTACTATTTCGAATAGTTGTGTTGGAGGTGTATAAGTTACAGGAGAGCACTGTAAAAATTTTATCAACATTCACCAATAAGATTGCGTTCAATGCCTCATGTACGAATGGAATTTCGAAACCTGTCATCCACTGAACAAGTATCATCTCAAATCTACCTTCCGTGAATCATCTCATTCTGACAGATATTCTGTGTGATTTCGGTGTACATGGTCATTTTCATACTAAATTTATGTTGGTTTATGAGGTTAAAATGAAAATACTTAATATAATTATGACCTTATATCGCTACTCACTGATTGCTACCCATAGTTTTCTCGAATATGATCCAAATTCATGATGAGGTTTTATTGTATGAACTTAGGGATAACCAGGTAATTATGAAAATCTTGGTAAGCCTAATGAAGGTTCTGAGTTCTACTGATATAAACGTACAATCTGTCTATTGATTAACAGATATTCATCCATATTATTGATCAACTCAATACCTAACGCAACATCGGGGAATCAACTCATGGATACTGATGTTACATTCAGCTAAAATCTCACTCGAGATAATTGTTATTAAAGTCCTCCGGTCATTCACATAGATGAGATTACCTGATCCGTGTTTCATCTTCAAAAATTCACTTAACTATGCTTCAATTACACATAGTGTCAAGCGAAGTTATTTAACATAATGGTTATTCTGTTTAGTAAACAATTAATTTACTAAAAAAATCACATTTAACCTTTAGACCTGTGTAAACAACATAATGATAAAGCCATCTGTCAATTGTTTTCTACTAAATCTTCTATTTGCATTCACTTTTACAGTAAGGAACTTGAAATAAGTTAAAATATACAGGAGATATGAAAATGTTGATGTTGTTTACTAGATTCCTCCTGCCACAACTTCGACTTACTGAACTTCATTTTTGTTGATCAAGATAAAAGTAGAGTGGTTGAGTATACCAAATAGTTTTTTTAAATACTATCATCACTATTTCTTATGCTCATAGTTTTATCAATATTGAAAAGCCGAAAACTTATAAACTCTCACGAATGTGTCGTCAATGTCAGTCTGTAAATATGGCAGCTTAACAACTCGATATTACAAGTTGTATGAACAGCGATCTAGACAACTAGATTTAAAAGTGAAATAAGAAAGCAAAGTCGGTATAGAAAATGTGATATGTCTCTACAACACATACTTAAGTTTGTAAATTTCTCATTTACTAAAAGGGTTAGTACTCTGTTATGTGTTCAAAAACAATGTGATTCAGGTTTTCCTCAGTTGCTTACGTGCTAACATTAAAAGATGGTGCATTTGATGTGGAGTCACACAGACTAATGACTAAATTAAGAGTTAATCAATAAAATCCAATCAGTTTTGAGGACTAGATAAACTTGACTTTGGTCACTACCCACTGATCAATCAGCATAACATTGAACAGTGATAGAATTGCAAAGTAACATATCTTCATTTTCCTGACTCAAAATTCTAAACTTGTAATTCTGACGTTAAGTAAATCAGAATCATGAATTCAGTCAGTTCATACTTTCTTTAGTAGTTGACTAAATGATCTACAAACTTCCCGAAGCCCATTATTGTCATACTTCTTACTGTAATAACTGGAAATAAATGTTAGCACAAAGATGTTTATAACGTTAGTGATCTTCAAAAACAACTCAAATTCCCTGATCAGTCTATGTGTCAGTCAAGGAATTAACAAGCAGAAACAGTTCCATTTATTATTTGAGCGAGAATTTCACTTTCTCTCGAAGAAGCCCAAATGTTAATACAGAGCTTATTGGAACAGTCTATCTACACTACTGAAATCTAATTGTAATTCGATGAATCTGCAGTGCATAAACGATTGGAAGACCATCTCTTACCAATTGGAATCACATCTCTGTTCGGTCAAATGAGTGAAATAGTCTTCTTAAACCATTGATGGTGTGGATTATTAATACCAGATTACCGATAGCTTGTTGAGGTGAATGATTATGCATCTGGCTCGTTTTCTAAATTCTTAAAATCAGATTGTTTGTTTTAGGTAATTCGATTCTAGTGAAATCGATTTTAAAGTCAATTGATATCTCTTGTTATAGAGTACTTAATTACCTGAGAACTATAGTTCTCTTCTAACTGAAAAGAAACGACGTTCAGAAGAATCTTGTTTCAAAGCGTGTCTATGGGCATTACTCTACCTGGCTGTTAAAATGATTACACAAGGCAGTTGATAGTTCAATCCTAGAACACTTCGTAAATCGTGGTCGCTCTACTTCACCAGAATCTTCTTTCGAAGTCATCCATGTAGTCAAAATAATTGACCCTAAGTGGTTAAGAATTCAATATTTAGGGTTGGACTTTAGAGGTAGGAGTTAGAGTTAGGATTCTCATCACGAGCTGACATCATCTATAATGCCGAAATTATATTTAGCCATACGGATGAACGAGTTTCGTGCCAACATCTAAGACTTGCTTTCTTAAGTCTGATTGGTTCGTCCATAAATTACAGTATCGACCCCTAAGTTATCACAGACTATCATTAGTATGATCTAACTTTACATACGATTGTACAGCTAAAGCAAATGACACTGTTGAGAAGAGAATTTTCTTCTCTGACTTGTCTTTAACTCTACTAAATTTTCAGCACATCGATTTATTTTGGTCCATTTTAGTTAAATTTCACTATTTAAATCATACGGATTGTTTCATAATAGCGTGATAACGCAATTATCCACATTTACTTAGGACACATGGAAGTAACATACTATCGTTTTCAGTTATTCAAGTATACTTGCTTTCACCAGCCAGTTAAGCATGAAGTTACAATCAGAGTGGGTGAGAGGAGTTTGATATTTCTCGATTTTGACCAGGAGAAAATATACATAATATGTATAAATGTTTTTGGATGTGTAACTTCTGCTCTCGAATCGAAATGTTAAGAAATTTTCGAACATTGTAAGATTCTTTACATCCTCATATTATCGTACACATTATTGACGAACTTTTATCATATAGTCATACTTACATTGAAAGTACCTCCTCACTATTTAACTTATTATCTCGGAAATTTTATCTTACCCTATAGAACAGTCGCTATACGAAGTTCTGGGAAAAATCTGACTTACTTACCGTTTACATGTTCCCATGGTAGTTATTTCTGAAATCTGTCTCCTAATCACTCCATGTAATGGGTAGGTCTATGGTGTGAGACTTAATCTTAGGCTTATATTCACTTATGACATTATTATGTTGATATGCATCACCTTAAAATCAGTCACTGAATGAACTTACTTGTACCCAATTAGGAATTAAAAGTTCTGAATATGATCAGCTAATTATCGATATTAAGTCGGATGATCGTGCACCTTCCAAACAAACCAGCTAATCAGTAGAGTCGTTACTTCATGTGTTGATGGAACCACATATGTGATAAAGAGCATTTCTGTCGACATCCACTGAACCGGATTTCTTATTACGCTGATTCCCCTCTTAGTAGTATAAAAATCTTCTATTGGCATACTGACATTCCTCAAAACGTTATCACTCTGAATGTACTTCATTGACTTTAGAAAAGAATATAATTCGTGACTGTCTAGTCAACCAGCTATTTAAGTAGCTAGTTTCGGTTTGTCACTTTGGCAAATCTTTCAGCAACAGTACAGCTTAAACATGAGATGAAATTGTGAAAACAAGTGTGTTGTCTGGTGGAAAAATTTATTATTAAAGCAAAAGTACATCATTTTTGTATAAGGATAAGTCCTTTAACAATTTACCAGTTTCATCTCTCTACAACAGTTTTCTGCGTTTAAAAGTCGTCGAAATGCGTTCGCGTAGCGCTTGTTACGAAAAGCGTAAATAAATGGGTTGCAGCAACTGTTGAGGTATAGTAACCACGAAAGTGTTGTATGTAGAGTCTCTGGAAACATGCACGTGCAAACAATTTCTCCTAAATGTACCAGGAGAAATGGCAAGAAACAGAAGAGGAAACAACCGACCACTATTGTCATGACCTTTACTGTTTGCAGTTCTCGCCTAAATGTAGTCTGATCTCGAATGTGTTCAGGAAGACAGAACTTACTTCTATCATTTTCGACGAGGATTGCTTGATGAAACTCTTTATTCTTAGCATCAACTACACTGAGATTACAACTTCGAGATTCAAGCTGTTGAGGATTTTCTGAAATGAAATGTAGTCCACAACTATTAAGACTGTCGATATCATCTGGGTATTCAGATTTCAATACATTCCTACCTCTATTCTGACAGTCTTGTTCGGGAATGGTTTTTTCTTTGATGTCTTCATTTTCCCTGTGATTCGGCAATGTCAGTTTTTCACCCTGGTCTTGTTCAACGGGATCGGATGTCTTTAAATCGTAGTCCATTTGTTTGATTTCCTGTTTCGTTTTGTTTACTACTGGAGGATGCATATGAACAAACACTTGTGTAGAGTATTTATTTTTAACAGGATATTTGAGTAATCCATCAATACTGTCATTTAATTCATTATTAGTTGACATTCGACAGAATATTTTGAAACGAACTATCAGTGATTTGGTGAACATTGGTATGTCAAGTGAATATCTAGCATGAACAAGAGGTTTCCTACTTGAATTACTGTAGGAGGTCATTATCGTGTCTGATGGTTGTCTCTGAACGTTCCGTGAATGATCTTGATGTACATTGACAGTGGGGAACTTGAACACTTGTCGACATCGTAGTGAATGACGTCTTATGGCAGAATATATCATCGAATAAACACATACAATTATCAGAATTGGTATAAACCAAAGGAAAACAGCTACATATAATCTGAAACTAGTATTATAGTTCAAGTAACACACCCCCTCACTGAAATGGTGTTGGTAACTAAAAATATATGGTAACGCGACGGACGTGAATGCCAACAACCATGTACCCAACAACATGCTGAACGGTCGGTGGCAGCCACGAGTTCTGTCTATTGATTAACAGATATTCATCCATATTATTGATCAACTCAATACCTAACGCAACATCGGGGAATCAACTCATGGATACTGATGTTACATTCAGCTAAAATCTCACTCGAGATAATTGTTATTAAAGTCCTCCGGTCATTCACATAGATGAGATTACCTGATCCGTGTTTCATCTTCAAAAATTCACTTAACTATGCTTCAATTACACATAGTGTCAAGCGAAGTTATTTAACATAATGGTTATTCTGTTTAGTAAACAATTAATTTACTAAAAAAATCACATTTAACCTTTAGACCTGTGTAAACAACATAATGATAAAGCCATCTGTCAATTGTTTTCTACTAAATCTTCTATTTGCATTCACTTTTACAGTAAGGAACTTGAAATAAGTTAAAATATACAGGAGATATGAAAATGTTGATGTTGTTTACTAGATTCCTCCTGCCACAACTTCGACTTACTGAACTTCATTTTTGTTGATCAAGATAAAAGTAGAGTGGTTGAGTATACCAAATAGTTTTTTTAAATACTATCATCACTATTTCTTATGCTCATAGTTTTATCAATATTGAAAAGCCGAAAACTTATAAACTCTCACGAATGTGTCGTCAATGTCAGTCTGTAAATATGGCAGCTTAACAACTCGATATTACAAGTTGTATGAACAGCGATCTAGACAACTAGATTTAAAAGTGAAATAAGAAAGCAAAGTCGGTATAGAAAATGTGATATGTCTCTACAACACATACTTAAGTTTGTAAATTTCTCATTTACTAAAAGGGTTAGTACTCTGTTATGTGTTCAAAAACAATGTGATTCAGGTTTTCCTCAGTTGCTTACGTGCTAACATTAAAAGATGGTGCATTTGATGTGGAGTCACACAGACTAATGACTAAATTAAGAGTTAATCAATAAAATCCAATCAGTTTTGAGGACTAGATAAACTTGACTTTGGTCACTACCCACTGATCAATCAGCATAACATTGAACAGTGATAGAATTGCAAAGTAACATATCTTCATTTTCCTGACTCAAAATTCTAAACTTGTAATTCTGACGTTAAGTAAATCAGAATCATGAATTCAGTCAGTTCATACTTTCTTTAGTAGTTGACTAAATGATCTACAAACTTCCCGAAGCCCATTATTGTCATACTTCTTACTGTAATAACTGGAAATAAATGTTAGCACAAAGATGTTTATAACGTTAGTGATCTTCAAAAACAACTCAAATTCCCTGATCAGCCTATGTGTCAGTCAAGGAATTAACAAGCAGAAACAGTTCCATTTATTATTTGAGCGAGAATTTCACTTTCTCTCGAAGAAGCCCAAATGTTAATACAGAGCTTATTGGAACAGTCTATCTACACTACTGAAATCTAATTGTAATTCGATGAATCTGCAGTGCATAAACGATTGGAAGACCATCTCTTACCAATTGGAATCACATCTCTGTTCGGTCAAATGAGTGAAATAGTCTTCTTAAACCATTGATGGTGTGGATTATTAATACCAGATTACCGATAGCTTGTTGAGGTGAATGATTATGCATCTGGCTCGTTTTCTAAATTCTTAAAATCAGATTGTTTGTTTTAGGTAATTCGATTCTAGTGAAATCGATTTTAAAGTCAATTGATATCTCTTGTTATAGAGTACTTAATTACCTGAGAACTATAGTTCTCTTCTAACTGAAAAGAAACGACGTTCAGAAGAATCTTGTTTCAAAGCGTGTCTATGGGCATTACTCTACCTGGCTGTTAAAATGATTACACAAGGCAGTTGATAGTTCAATCCTAGAACACTTCGTAAATCGTGGTCGCTCTACTTCACCAGAATCTTCTTTCGAAGTCATCCATGTAGTCAAAATAATTGACCCTAAGTGGTTAAGAATTCAATATTTAGGGTTGGACTTTAGAGGTAGGAGTTAGAGTTAGGATTCTCATCACGAGCTGACATCATCTATAATGCCGAAATTATATTTAGCCATACGGATGAACGAGTTTCGTGCCAACATCTAAGACTTGCTTTCTTAAGTCTGATTGGTTCGTCCATAAATTACAGTATCGACCCCTAAGTTATCACAGACTATCATTAGTATGATCTAACTTTACATACGATTGTACAGCTAAAGCAAATGACACTGTTGAGAAGAGAATTTTCTTCTCTGACTTGTCTTTAACTCTACTAAATTTTCAGCACATCGATTTATTTTGGTCCATTTTAGTTAAATTTCACTATTTAAATCATACGGATTGTTTCATAATAGCGTGATAACGCAATTATCCACATTTACTTAGGACACATGGAAGTAACATACTATCGTTTTCAGTTATTCAAGTATACTTGCTTTCACCAGCCAGTTAAGCATGAAGTTACAATCAGAGTGGGTGAGAGGAGTTTGATATTTCTCGATTTTGACCAGGAGAAAATATACATAATATGTATAAATGTTTTTGGATGTGTAACTTCTGCTCTCGAATCGAAATGTTAAGAAATTTTCGAACATTGTAAGATTCTTTACATCCTCATATTATCGTACACATTATTGACGAACTTTTATCATATAGTCATACTTACATTGAAAGTACCTCCTCACTATTTAACTTATTATCTCGGAAATTTTATCTTACCCTATAGAACAGTCGCTATACGAAGTTCTGGGAAAAATCTGACTTACTTACCGTTTACATGTTCCCATGGTAGTTATTTCTGAAATCTGTCTCCTAATCACTCCATGTAATGGGTAGGTCTATGGTGTGAGACTTAATCTTAGGCTTATATTCACTTATGACATTATTATGTTGATATGCATCACCTTAAAATCAGTCACTGAATGAACTTACTTGTACCCAATTAGGAATTAAAAGTTCTGAATATGATCAGCTAATTATCGATATTAAGTCGGATGATCGTGCACCTTCCAAACAAACCAGCTAATCAGTAGAGTCGTTACTTCATGTGTTGATGGAACCACATATGTGATAAAGAGCATTTCTGTCGACATCCACTGAACCGGATTTCTTATTACGCTGATTCCCCTCTTAGTAGTATAAAAATCTTCTATTGGCATACTGACATTCCTCAAAACGTTATCACTCTGAATGTACTTCATTGACTTTAGAAAAGAATATAATTCGTGACTGTCTAGTCAACCAGCTATTTAAGTAGCTAGTTTCGGTTTGTCACTTTGGCAAATCTTTCAGCAACAGTACAGCTTAAACATGAGATGAAATTGTGAAAACAAGTGTGTTGTCTGGTGGAAAAATTTATTATTAAAGCAAAAGTACATCATTTTTGTATAAGGATAAGTCCTTTAACAATTTACCAGTTTCATCTCTCTACAACAGTTTTCTGCGTTTAAAAGTCGTCGAAATGCGTTCGCGTAGCGCTTGTTACGAAAAGCGTAAATAAATGGGTTGCAGCAACTGTTGAGGTATAGTAACCACGAAAGTGTTGTATGTAGAGTCTCTGGAAACATGCACGTGCAAACAATTTCTCCTAAATGTACCAGGAGAAATGGCAAGAAACAGAAGAGGAAACAACCGACCACTATTGTCATGACCTTTACTGTTTGCAGTTCTCGCCTAAATGTAGTCTGATCTCGAATGTGTTCAGGAAGACAGAACTTACTTCTATCATTTTCGACGAGGATTGCTTGATGAAACTCTTTATTCTTAGCATCAACTACACTGAGATTACAACTTCGAGATTCAAGCTGTTGAGGATTTTCTGAAATGAAATGTAGTCCACAACTATTAAGACTGTCGATATCATCTGGGTATTCAGATTTCAATACATTCCTACCTCTATTCTGACAGTCTTGTTCGGGAATGGTTTTTTCTTTGATGTCTTCATTTTCCCTGTGATTCGGCAATGTCAGTTTTTCACCCTGGTCTTGTTCAACGGGATCGGATGTCTTTAAATCGTAGTCCATTTGTTTGATTTCCTGTTTCGTTTTGTTTACTACTGGAGGATGCATATGAACAAACACTTGTGTAGAGTATTTATTTTTAACAGGATATTTGAGTAATCCATCAATACTGTCATTTAATTCATTATTAGTTGACATTCGACAGAATATTTTGAAACGAACTATCAGTGATTTGGTGAACATTGGTATGTCAAGTGAATATCTAGCATGAACAAGAGGTTTCCTACTTGAATTACTGTAGGAGGTCATTATCGTGTCTGATGGTTGTCTCTGAACGTTCCGTGAATGATCTTGATGTACATTGACAGTGGGGAACTTGAACACTTGTCGACATCGTAGTGAATGACGTCTTATGGCAGAATATATCATCGAATAAACACATACAATTATCAGAATTGGTATAAACCAAAGGAAAACAGCTACATATAATCTGAAACTAGTATTATAGTTCAAGTAACACACCCCCTCACTGAAATGGTGTTGGTAACTAAAAATATATGGTAACGCGACGGACGTGAATGCCAACAACCATGTACCCAACAACATGCTGAACGGTCGGTGGCAGCCACGAGTTCTGTTGTACTGTAATGGTTGTGTGACTGCTATGTATCTATCGATAGAAATGCAACACAGACTGAGTACTGAAGCTAAACAAAACAGAAGATTCCCAGACATGAAGTACTGACACAGTATATTGGACTGAAATGGCCAATACCCGACATGTTGACGAACAATTGCCAGTGGAAGTATCAAAAATGACAGGAGAAAATCAGCTACTGCAAGAGAGACAATGTACATATCGATTTCAAGCCGGAGATTTTTTGTCATTGCAAATGCGACTATCACCAACAGATTTCCGAAAAATATTACTCCTGCCAAAACGACCGTGAAGAATGTTGTTGTTATTCTGACTGCTGGATTCCATTCAACAGAAGATCTTATTCCATTGTTAACTGAAAAATTCCCCAAACACATTACACACAGTTTACACAATTTGAAATCCATACCCTGTGATTCGAACTGACTATTGAATTATGCAGTTATTTCAAAGTCAGGATTTCACAATCGCATATGTTTATGTATAACACGATTCTCATTAGAACTAATTGGTTCAGAATAATATTGAAATATCTATTCGAATTACGTTGTTAGTTGATAAATTCTGCATTTATTTCTAGTGGCTTATAAACATATCTAGAAAGGCTTTCGGCCAATAGCTTTCACGTCATTACTTGTAACCATATTAAACAAAGACTCACATCTATTGGTCACCAACCAATCAGACTTCATGTCTAAAGCCAATATCCTTCGTTGTTACATTCAGCATATATATCATATGTTATAGAATAGAAACGGGGAAAAATGAAAATGTTGGCCTGTCAACAGTTTTGCATGGTGGTTGATGGCTAGTGACACATCTATCTATGATATATTTACCTGTTGCAAATCACATTTAAATTGATCAGTTTTAAAACTGTCCATCTGAATGCTAACCATGTGCTCAATGATGACCTGATTTCATGTGGACTGGTGATAGTTCGTAACCCATGTAGTCAATCAAGTCGGTATTGAGTTGGGACCCTAGCGATGGCACTGAATAGTGATAGTGCTATACAGAAACTACCTGTAGTACTGAGAGATGACCGATGGATTTCCATTCATTAATTGAGTAATATTAATGTGCTTGTGAGAACAGCAGTTAATAGTTTTGATATTAAGTGAAGTTATGATCACCCAGCGTTGAGAAGTCTCAAATTCGGACGACAGAGTGATCTGGTGCTATCATATATTCAGAGATTGTTCAGCTAATTTCAGGAGAGAACCAATTAATTTCATAATAAAACTGATAATAATATTAATCCGAATAGTTCAAAAGACAAAATGAATATATATAACTAGAAGTTGGTTGAAATTGTGAAGTGTATTTACAAAGAATACTATGTAAAACGGCTTCATCTCTCTTCTTTTAACATTTAAGTCATTATCAGGTGGTAATAAACCTATCTGTCATCATATTAGGCTTTCCTGGTGCTTTTAATACGTTCATGTATATTTTTTTACTCAGCCTATGATATGGTTCACGGCGAAAACGAATATTTTACTAGAATGTTGTGTAAAATTTAATTAACTACGGTTTGAGTTCTTCAATTATAGTATTCGGATGCTGAGCTTGATGGCACAGAGTATGTTGTGGCTTGAAAAATGCAACTGGAGTATAACACTATATCATCTCATAATATCAATTGATTGGACATCAAACATATTAATTACGTTCAGGTGTTGATTAATTCAGTAATAGATCTTATGCAGTAGCTGATGTTCTGAATCAAATTTTTGAACTTCCATCTACTTATTTAGTCTATTCAAGTTTTAAAACTTGTTCAATTTCATGTTCGCTAGCCTCGCTGACCCCGTAACCATTTACAATGTGAACTAAACCTTTCACGCTAAACCTATATTTTATACCATATTATCGTTACCAATATTTGGCTGCATTATTAGCAATGCATTTTTCTTGGGATCACATATTTTTCAAACATATTGGTCCTAGAAAAATTGATTAATCAATACGAATTTCTGTTGACTAATCTTGTGAACTGTGCCAGCTGATCTTCATGTTGATTTCCACGTCTTATATCGCTCTATGTAAGAATTACTCTTCTACTTTGAATTAAATGGTTTCATTATGTAGTCACATTGACAAATTAGCAAATGCATTCTCGCAGTCAAAATAATCCCAAAATAATCAGATGCACAGTTCTACAGCATATAAACTTATCATCCTGGTGTACAATATGTTGGATATACTGAAAACTAGCGGATCCCATTTAACAGGGTAAATAAATTTTACCTTATTGTAGACCACAAGTTTAAACTGAACATTTTGTGTAAACCAAATGACTTCTCCATCGTTTTCAAATGATTCGTATTTTCCTCATGCACTTGCGATATTTCATTGTACTCTTCAATAGCCTTCGACCATTTGAAGCTGTAAACCGTCTATTTATATCCAATGGTCTCTCCGATTAAACAGCATGTTCATCCTGACTGCCTATTGTAAAGTGGAAGAATTAAATAGTTAGTAGCGTTGAAGTTACCGAAGTATTATCATACTGGATATCAGTCAATCGACTCTACGTACAGAGATTAAACTGTCTTGACAACACAAAACAATGTTTTTCGTAGATATGCAAAGCGGGATTTATACTCACATTGAATGGACTGATTCACCGAGAAGAGAAATCCATACAATTTCCTACTAAAATGTTCACCTCATTGTTAAAACCGTATATTGTAAAGTAAAATACTGAGAGTGTTATGTATGGAGAAACGTTTATTGACCAGTTTATCTCTAATTCATCGGAATAAATATTTTGCTTCCATCTCAGAAAGTACCTGGATTTGAGTGGAGTTAGTGAGGTGCGAGCTTCTTCAACATTACAAACAGAATAGTCGAATAAGGAATATTCTGCTCATGAAAACACTTGATCTGCATTTGGTTTATTTCGATTTAGTGACGATCAAAGGGAGGATAAAAGTAATCGTAACAGTTCGAGTAACGATTAGCTTTCTCAAATTTCATACGAAATTATAACAATAGTAAGAGATCCATCTGCTATATTTTACTAGAAAAACGAATAGAATTAGTTGTCTTTGAGTAAAATTTGCTGTTTGGTAAAACTAGTTGTTAATTGTTCGACTTGACGTTGATAATATTTGTTTGCTCAACTACAAACACGATTATTTTTTCATTATGACGGTTTCATTCATTCATCACTTATATCCTCAGAAGTGAGTACAGAAAATCAGTGACAGAAACAATCTGGTGTACATCACGTGTTGTTATATATCGAAGTATATCAGGATAAGCATATTAAAGAATGAATCAGATGTGAAATCAGTAAATTTTAGACAAATTTTTGATGTATAACTAGAAATATTTTTCGAGGTAACAGTGAACAGTGAATAAGTACCACCATAGTTTGCTGAATTCATAAAGGAGTTTGATTGGAGTTTGCTTAGTTTCTTCGCTCACTGAAGTATATTGTGAGTTTAAATTGCTCAGTGATGTAAGGGTTACAGTTCCGAAATGGCAGTAGGCTGGTTTGACACTAAAATAATCAGTGCAGGTGATTCTACAATTCAAACTTTACTTTAACACTGGACTGAAAGGTGTATCTCATGTACATCTAATTTCAGCCACTATGAATAAATCTATTTTGGTGGATTTCGATTTACGAAATCTACCATGTTCTGAACTCCAAAAGAATGAAAACATCATGAGTAGTCTATGGTGCAACTATTCAAAATAGTTCACCGTTATATATTAACAACTCAACTGATCACCAAATATTAAGTAATAAATCTATGGATTAAGGAACATCCCATTTCTCTCTAATAATATCTGTATGAGTTCCTAGATCACACATTTATTAGAAGAAAGGTGCCTATCACTCATCTAAATGCCCATAACGATTGGTTTTAGGATGTTCAATTCCAATGTTATCATCGATTAGGTTGTTCATTGTGTTAAATAAATGACCACAGAGACTGATGCATTGACGACCACAATTCCGAAACACAAATATGTACCACGTCAAATACAATTTTCAAAAATGTTAATTCCTCAGCGTTCATTTTCAATAACATCTAGTTTATTCTAGATGTAACTAGATCTATCTACTGAATAAGTTTGATAACTGGATGTTAAAAAGTGTTACTATATTCATCTGCATTAACTCATATATGTTAATCTAAGTTGTGGTTTGTGCTACTTATATTGACATGAGTAGTAGATGATGTTAGTCGTGAACAGAATGTCTGGCATCAGAGAGACAAGAGGATCGAACAGTAAAGAATGGAAACATAATGCGAATTGTATGCAAATGAAAGAACAATGAAGTCTGAGTCATTTTGGGACAATTGATGGACATTCCGCAAATTACGTATCCACTATTTGATTGTTAGATTTTATTAACAAGTCCTGTAATTTTGCGTTAAATATATTCGATTGTTCCCACTGGTGTTCTGTTCACCACAAAGTATAGTTTCATCTCTCAAAATGCTTCTTATCTCTGTCGCTGTTAGGAAGTCCCATCATTTTGTGAGGATAAAGAAGTATCCCGTATTTTGTGAGT